GAAAAAATGCAGCAGGAATAATTCAACCAATCAAAAAGAAAAGAGAGGGAATAACAAGAAGATGCTACCTGTGAAACTTGCTTGGCAACAGAATTTAACATAGACTTCCATCTTGATCCATGACTTGCGGAAGATGTACTGTGCTTAAAGCTCTTAGACACGTCTGCATAGGGCAGTCTAAAATTGTTAATATGAATGCTTTATATAAACACTATCTAGATACAAGAATCACTTATAGATCCCCCAACTTACGGACACAAATTATTTTTGGAAATTCATTATCTCTTAGGAGAAAAGGACTAGAAAAAGCTGAGAAAGTATCCTATAGGAAAACAAGAAAATAAAAACCAGTTTTTTTTACCAATGCTATAAATATACAAAAAGAATATAATCTTGTAAGAAGAAACCGTAGGTACTTGGTAGAGATACTGCAGGAATTTGGAAGGCTCCTGCCGTCAACCTAGTTTATCAAGTCTAAAAGATAAAGTAAAATACATATGCATAGACTATTGTTGAAGGCGGTGTGATCTTAGGTGACTAACACATTAGAATCCTATGAAGCAACCAAAGAGGATCAAGCGGGCATCCTCCTCTAATGATGATGTAGAAACTGTAGTCCAAGAACAGCCAAAAGAAATTTCATTTTAGGATACGTCCAAAATTTTCAAAGACCAAGTCTTCCAAAAGGTAAGGGCCCATTTACTTGTGTTTTTATTTTCTGTTTTCACCTTTTAATTACAAAAATTGTCACCTTATTTTCAATTGGTTTTCTGTTTTCAAATATTGTACAACAAACACTGAAAATAACATCTTATTTTGCTTTCTCTGTTTCATTTACAAATCTGTGAAAACAAAAAACAGATAAAAAATAATAAGGTGATAGTTTTGTAATTAAAAAGTAAAAACAAAAAAGGAAAACAGCAGTAATGGGCCCTAGTTGTTATATTGAGACCCATGAATGGTTTTAGTATTCAAATATGCCACCTGAACTAGAGGCATTTGGACTTTGAGGTGTGCCCACAAGCTCACTTTATCTTGTGTTGAAATAAAATTTAATATAATGAATGGGAAAGACAAGGATTGAATTCCTAATGATTTGATTTTAAAGGATTCAATACCATGCCAAAGATAAACTATTTTAAAAGCTTAAGATGTTAGATGGAGGCCTGTAAATGGTTTTATACCTTGAACAGAAACTACTACTATGGTCCTCATTAAGTCCATTTTTATGGGGAAAATATCCTGTATAATGTCAACAAACCATTACATACAGAAAATGCATAGATAGTTGGATTTGTCAGGATTAATTTACTAACTAGTTTTCCACTCACCATCTCCTTTTGGCTCTTGTAAATCATTAATTCCTTCTGCAAGATTCAATTGCTCACCCAAATATTCAAATCGTTCAAGAAGATCTGACGGGACATCCCCAACATTGCTCGACTCTGGATTTGAGCCCTCTGTCTCTTTCTGGAGCTCTTCTTCACCTACTTCAAGCCTTGTTTCAATCTCTAAGAATGCACTTCCAGAATATTCAATGTCAACCTCTAAGGCACACACCTCATTCATTTCCATGGGAAGAACCCTCATTCCAATGATACAGGGTGGGACATTCCCCATGTTGATGTCTGTACAGATTACTTCACCTACATAACTGGGAGTCCTCATATTTGACAAGGTTCTCTGTACAAATAATAGAAAAGACCAAAACTTATCTTATAGAAACCAAAACAAAACAAGGTTTTGCGTAGGGTGTTCTTTATATATATATATATATATATCAACATTTAAGTCATAACAGAATGGAATTTGCTGCATGAAAATGAAGAAGTCAGTAGGGAAATGTAAAGAACATTTTAAAATAATGTCCCATCTCATTCTTTCAAATCTAAAACTAATCCTTTTCTTGTGCTTTTTTCATCCATTCATCACATTAAAAATAACTCTAAAAATAGCATTGCTGGCCCTTTGTCTGGTTGATCTAGTTCTTGTCAGAAACATAGGACTTTCAGATTGGCTAAAGTAACAAATTAACTCTAGATGTATTTAAAAGGTAAATCTTCTCAATATTCTTAATGTGTTAAGCTTAACAAATATAATCCACCTTGCACCAATCCGCTTGAGTTTTTGGAACAACTGGCTATGGAGAAGATTACTAGAAAGATATAATATCCTTCATCCAGTTATGAATAAGCTAATTTTATCGATTTAAGAAACTAATATACAGGTGACATGATACTAGAAATTGATCGTTATGCAAAATAATTCCCATTTCCCAATGTTAAACATAATTAAACAGAGTCAAAATAAAGTGCCTACATATGTGAAATTCCCTTACCTGAATCCTTTCTTGGATGGATTTCTTCACTTGCACATTTCCTTTGACATCAAAAAAGAATCGGGAAACCAACAAATTCCAGCATAATGTTCCTTCATCAAAACCTAACTTTTCATCAGCGTCAACGTCAGAATTGACAGAGATATGACTCTGGCTTCCTGAATGAGATAAGGTCGAAGATAATGGTGCAGCATTGTCTAACAGAGGACTTTTCAGATGATGGTTTGCTGCTGAAGCAGATTTTATCAAAGTAGTGGCTAAAACTGCATCTTGAGAAGCACGAAGCCTCTCAATGTTCTTTCTTTCTTCACGGCATGACACTGAAGTCCAAGCTGATTTATTATCCACACCAACTCGGGAAGTTTTTTTCGTAAGTTTTTTCAAAAATTGACGAACCTTTGAGGGACCACCATCAGGCTTACTAGCCCTTTCTATAGCATCAGCACTTGATCCTACCGGTGGTTTTATAAGAGAATGATATTCAGTATTTAATGATGTCAAATAACTATGAAACTCTTCTTGCAACTGGGCAAACCATTCGAGCTTTTCAATCTCATCACAAGAAGCCAGACGGAGGACCTTACACCATGCTTCTTTCTCACATGAAGTCTCAAGATACATGTAAAAAGTCTTGCTTCCACGGTAGATCACAGAGGTCTTGGCTTCCACTTTGATGGGGAATTTTTTTGCCCTATAGGATTCATTACATTGAAGCACCTAATTTCTTCAGTAAATAAGCAAGAATGTAAAATATATATCTATCCATTATCATTTAATGTATAAGTCAAGAAATAACAAGTTACTTCATTAGGATGTATGTGGGGCACAAACGAAATGAAACTTCTCCATTTTAAATTTAATATCATGAAAAGTTCAAAGGAAACCCATTTTCAACTACTTTTTAAACTGCGAATCATAGTTAACTGAAAATGACGTTCATTTCAATATGAATCCCACTAAAAGGATGAAAAAAGTTGTTGTATAAGAGTTTAAAATCATGTTTTCTGCGAATCTAGTACTGCTCTAGTTGATAGCAGTGGTTTGACATGTATAAAACCTTTGTATTGATGAAATAAATATTATACCAACTACAGCATCTACACACTAACTACTGTTGAGAACAAGATATTGGCAAGACCAAGTCTAGTTCAACAACTACAAACCCCAACCCAACAACACTACTAACACAACAACTCTAATTCTAACATTATGAATTACTTCCCTTCAAATTGATCTCACCTCTCAGTTGCAACACACTTATCAAGTGTGTTTGGATTAAGTTCCATTCAACTCAATCCATTGCTCACATAGCTTTCCGTTTATGCATTAGAAGGTGCAAAACTTTCATTTAACGTAATTCTAATAGATATCCAAACACACCATGAACCCCACAAACAGAATTCATATAATGCAGGCAGGCAGCTAATTCAAATGGAACCAAACCAACACACCACAAACACAAAAAAAAAAAAAAAAAAAAAGG